GAAGGCAATGAATGCTATGCCTAGAATAGCTTCTTCCTACCCCAATTCCCATTGTATCTATATCCTCCTGGGCCCAATTTAGATCTTAAAAAAAAAAAATGTAAGATATATGATAGTTGACTCTTCAGTAATTTTCAGTTGAAACTTATTCTGATCCAAGTTTCAAGCATCTTTAAATGCCTGCAAATGTTCTTTCTCTAAAATTATCTACTCATTTTTTTTTTTGTTTGTTAAATGAAATAGGAAGACGTAAAGAAGCCTCCCTTTGGAAAGTAACAGCCAGAATAGAGAATCATGTCCCTTCTGCACCACCTCCCTAAAGCGGATCTTTAACAGCATCCACACAAAAGAATTTGCCTAAAATATTTTTCAGAAGCTTTAATGATATAACTTAGTCAAGTCAATTGAGAGAAAGAAATAAAACTAAGCAGCTTTGGTAAAAATGCCCCCAAAGGTTTATAAAGTTTATGACTACGATGATGGAGGATTTCAACTAAAAATTACTTAAGAGTCAAGTAATATGCATGCTAGGTGACTGGTATAATATCTAGTTGCATAGTTTTTTAATCCAATTTGAGACTGTTATTGCTGTGTGCCTTCGAGTTGATTCTGATTCATAGCTACCACACATAGCACAGGGTAGAACTGCCCCATATGGTTTGTTAGGCTGTGATCTTTGCATGAGCAGATTGCCAGGCCTTTTGTCCCCAGGAGCAGGCTAGGTTCAAACTGAGGACATTTCAGTTCACAATCGAGTGCTTAACCATTGCATCACTAGGGTTCCTAAACTGAGCCTAAGAGGAGAGAATTTCAACTAGAAAGAACATTGATAATAGTGTTATTATTAATTTCAATAGATGACCACAAAAATATCCTACTAACTGCAAATATGGTAACATTCTTGAGCCTAAGACCTGAAGCCTATGTTAAAACCCAACCTTTCTAAATCTTTAGTTAGTTTTTAATGAATATGAATGAGCACTGTAGTATATTATGCTAGTTTCATGCTTGAATTTCCTGAATCTTCTCTCACTCAGACAGAAATGGGCACAAATTACTTTTACCAATGCTGTCCATGTTTACTGGCACTGAAACCAAAAGCATTTTATCCTATGTGTCAAACTCAAAGACTGAAATTTAGCTTGCTGTCAGCTTCAGAAACAATTTTTTTTATATAAGCAGGGCACACTGCCTTAAGCCAACTAAACACCAAAGCATGTTGGGCTGCCCACACTGCAAATTATTTGGAATGTTCTCCATGTTTTGCGGTTGCAACAGTACTATTTTGTGTGGATCACCCAGTTCAAATTAGGGGCATATCTGATCTGAAACAGAAAATTCCCATGAAACTGAAACTATAATTGACCAAGATCCTGTCAGCAATGAAAGCCTGTGATTTCAGGCTCACAGTCAAACATTTCAAATGTTATTTTTTTAGAAGCTGAAAAGACACAATGTAGACTCTATGAAATGCTTATTTGTTGATAAGTAAACACTAAGAACTCACCCTAAATACACACTTGTCAGAGTTGCAAAAATAGGAAAATTTGTTAAACGCAATAAAGGGCATCTGTTGTTGTTATGTGCCATCAAGTCAGACCCGACTCATAGTGACCTCCTTTTGTCCAAGACAGTATCACTACAGAAGTAGATTGTCCCATTTGCCTTCAGAGGAGTGGCTGGTGGGTTTGAACCGCCAGCCTTCTGGTTAGCAGTCAAGTGCCTTAGGCAATATGCTACCAGAGGTCCCAAGGGCATCTGTAGCAAATATAAACTTATTTCTGATATATGCCTCGCAAATTAAAGCCAAAACAGTCTGAAAGATTAATCCATTTCATTTTGAATTCTCACATATATGGTGAAATGTGGCAACATCAGCTGTAGAGTATAATAAATATTCCAAAGGGCGGCAGATAGCTTTGCTTGCAGTGACTAGAGGATTGTATTATAGGTATTATTTTCCCAAGCATTAATGGGTTGCTCTACCAAATCAAATATTTAAGATATCATTTCACAAAAGTGAGTCACAAAACTCCCCCAAGATTTGCCTCCCATGCCTTTGAGGTCTACTTTCTAGGTCCCAGATCTATAGAGAATGCCCTGAAGATAATTTTTGAAACATTTAATGAAGAAAACACTATATTGAGAGCTAAATTTTACCTATGGTTTCCTTTACTATTACCAGTTGCTGTAGAGCTGATTCCAACTCCTGGTGACCCCACGTGTGTCATGGTAAAATTGTGATCCACGGGGTTTTCAACAGTCGATCACCAGGCCTTTCTTCCAAAGCACCTCAGGGTAGACTGAAGCATCCAACCTTTGGTCAGTAGCCAGTGCATTAACTGTTTATCCCACCCATGGTCCCCTAAACCAAACTAAAGCCAAATCCAATGCCATCAAATTGATTCCAACCCACAGCAACCCTATAGGACAAAGTAGAACTACTCCATATGGTTTTCAAGGCTGTACATCTTTACAAAAGCAGACTGCCTCATCTTTCTCCCACAGAGCGGCTAGTGGGTTCGAACCGCCAACCTTTTTTGGTTCGCAGCTAAATGTCTTAGACACTGCACCACCAGAGCTCCTGTCATGGCCCCCTACTGAAGAGAAATTACCTTAAGTTAAGAAATGCCTGGTTCAACCATCCCTTGGTGGGGCAATTCAGTCCATTTTAATAGATAAATATGTGATTAGGATGCCTATCATATGGCTTACTTCTCCAAGCCTTATAAGAAAAAAGAACACAATAGAAAAGCCCAGGAGGGGGGAGTATTTATTTGCTTTTTAGTGAAGGGAGGTTTAGTTTTTGTTTTGGTTTTTTATTGTGATTTGGGTGAAAGTTTAGAGTAAATGGGTTTTCCATTCAACAGTTCATACACATTGTGTTCCACGACATTGATTACAATCCCCACAATGTAATAGCGAAACAGGTGGTTTATTTTTTTTAACTGAAGTGATACTGACAAAAACACTGATGATCAACCCTAACATAAGCTATTTTTGCTTGTGATCCTTTAGACCCACTGCTCTTAGTGCTTCAGTATTATCAAGTCACTGAATGGTTTTCCCTATCATGGTTACATACAGATAAATATTTTTAAAAAGTTTCAAAAAGAATCATTCACAAAACAATTATCCCAAATCAAATAAATCATATATAAAATCTCAACATACATTAATCAATATCATTGTAGAAACTAATTCACAACCACCTTAGAGCTCAAAATTCTTATTAAATGCAGTACCTTCTTGCCTGGAATCAGGCAAACTCAGTGGGAAACGCAGTGGGGGTTTCAAGTGTGTGACTTTTCTAAGCAATTTTTTTTTTTTAAATGTCTATTTTGCTGCAAGTTTTCAGAAATGCCTGAGAAGTTGAGTCCTTTAAAAAAAAAAAAGTCACTTCTGATATATTTGATTGCAGAGTGCTGAGATGAAATGCTTTATCTAAAGCAAAATTGGACAATATTAATAGTTATTCTGGAATGCTTTTCTTTCAAAACTTTCCTATTGCTAATGTGATATTCTCCACAATATTTCTCATTAATTTTGCAAACACATTTCTTTTCTCACACACAAAATTTTATTTTAAGCATATACTTATTTACTTTAAAAACATCATTGTACTCTTTAAGTAAGATGCTATATTCTATTTTTACTGTTAAAAATTATAATGATATAATCAATTGTCTCCTTAAAATGTTGCCTATGCTTCACCTCACAAAACATAATGACTTTTCTTTTTCAGCACCTCTGATTTGTAGCTGACATCCAAAGTACACAACGTGAGTGGAGAGTACAGAAGCACTAATAGATGTGGCAGACACCTGGGGGTGTGAAAAAAATAGAACTTTGTTCTCATAGAACACTTGAAAAAAGAAAAGTTACCCATTAATGTATTAATAAATTTGGTTTCATCAAATAATTGCATGTGTTACATACCTCATCCGATGGTAAAATTGTCAAAAGCAATTGCAGATTATACAAGTAACATCAGGTTATAGGATTCCTAGAAAAACCATCCCTACAATTACTTGGAGACTTCTTAATCTAAGACATAATGAAAGCCAAACTCACCAATACATAAGTAAATAAACTAATTTACAAGAAAATCCTATTCAAAAAGATGGCTAAAATCCCATCCTACCTCACCGGAAAAAAAAACTGCAACCTACTACTGAGGATATCTTTATTTGACTGAGTCTTAATATTTCATCAGCGACTAAACGATCGCTTTAAAAATTTGGGCCAGACCTGGGGGAGGAAATATGCAAAAAGATATATTTATTTGTAAGCAGCCTAACTAAGCATTCAGGGTTTTTTTTTTTTTTTTTCCTTAAACAAACAAACAAAAAAATTAAGTATTTCCCAAAAGGGGCGGGGGGAAGGGAGACTAAAAATCAAGGCGACGTAGAGAAATTGGCCAAAGCTGAAAGACTCACAGCGCCGCAAAGCTTAACCACATGTAAGAAGGCAGCCTCTCAACTGCTGGGACTCGGCAGGAGCCCTCCTACTTCTGCAAACGATCGGAATCCCACACCTCAAGAGTAACTAGACCACAGTATAAAAGTTGAAGAGGATTCTGTCTCCTTCATCTCACTCCCAGCACTTTGGTTCTAGACCAGGAAAGCCGGAGAGTGAAAAATCTGAAAATCTGTGCTGAACTGCAGCCGACCTGTTTCCTAGAAGGCCCAGGCTTAGCGGGCAGAGGATGGAGACCGGGGGTGTCGGGGAGGCAGGCGACAAGTCGCTGCGGCACTGGAGAAACCGAGTCTTGGCTCAGGCCCCGCCGTGCGGCGCTGGTTGCTGGAAGAACTAAAGTCCAGCTGCTCCTTTCTCAAAATTCCCGAAAACCTCAGCTTCTCCCGCACAACTTCAGTCTAACCAGTGTCATTTTCGGCTATACGCTCGGCCAAACTGCAAACCTTTCTAACTGCCGCTGATGCAACCCCCTCCCCAGAGTGGTTACCTGTCTTGGGGGTCCGAAGACCCCCAAGTCTCACCTCATACAAAGGGCAACGCGCGGGCGCCTGCATGAGAGCGAGCCCCGGGAGCATGGCCCAATCCAGTCCCTCCCGGAACTTTCCTGACATAGCACTTCTCTCTCCCGCTGCAGAAAACAACGCTTCGAAGCAGAGAAGGAGGAGGAAGAGGAGGAGAGGTGGTAGCAAGCCAGGCTGTGGCGGCGGCGGGAGCTGGAGCAGCAAGTGAGGAGCATCGCGCACCCGAGCCACCGCCTCCCGACCTGCCGAGGGGTTCCCGCCCCCAGGATCACCAAAGCTCCCTCTTAAAGGCGCCGGCCCATTTTTAGGACGGGGGACATTGGAGAGGAGAGGTGAGGAGCAGGCGAGTCAAGAGGGAGGGGGCAAGTAGAGACAGATTCTGGGAAGCCATTTCCTGAGCTGCCCTCAGGCTGTGGTGCTGTCCCCTTTCAGCTGCCCTACACCCCCAATCAGACCGCCCCTCCGCCTGTGCAAAGGCACCGACTATAGAGCAAATGCTGGAACCCGCAAGTGGGGCCGCCCCTGCTGTTTCGTCTACACCCCTGGGAGGTCCCCGGAACCTCACCCCTCCTCTTACGCGCGCCTGCATGCCTTTTAGGGTCTTGGCTTCCTCCCCTCACCGTGGCGCCACCCTCGTCGACACTCCTAAAGCTTGTGCCGCTGCTGGCGACTGCCCCCTGGAATTGCCTTTCCAGAAGCTGTTTGCGTTTCCTCCCTACTTTCCTGGTGCTTCTTCCTCTACTCTGCACAATGATGAGGGTCTCACCCAGGAACTCAAGAGACTGGAGTAACTGAAGTCCAGCTAGGGTCCGTAGACAGACCTCTGAATTGTCAATGCTGTGGGGCATGAGGGACTTGCCAGAAGCTCTGCCTTCCTGGATTTTGTGCTCTCTTGCAATGGCCAACTGCCAGGTAGTCTCCAGCTGTATCCTGCACAGGGTCTGTCTGTTGAGGTGGAAGATAAGCAGGAAATCTACTTGAGATCCAGCCCAAGCACCAACTCATGCCTCTAAGCGTAGGCCCACATCTGCTCTGAAGGAATGCCATGTCCTAATTCACACAAAGATATCTACCTGCATGAGCCAACAGTGGCCTGATGCTGGAATGGAGCGCCTCAGGGTCTGCCTTCCTTCCACCCCTGGCTATGGATCAAGCACATGTTGAACTTCAGGAGGAAGAGGTCAGGGATAAAATACACAAAAGTTGGAGCAACTTCTGTTACCAGAAAAAGAAATAAGCCTTGAGCACTATAAAAGCATGATACATGGTCCCTTCTGAACCAGAAGTTAAAACCGTAAGAGGTTAGCGACAAGGAAGAGTGGAGGTATTCTGATTTGTGATAACTCCTGTATTGTCAGGACTATTGGATACGAGCACCCAACTCAAGCTGATTTAGGAAAACCTATTGGGGAAAGATTTAGAATTTATTGGTTAACATGCTTTTAAATCTTAGGAGTAGAGCTGAAAATGACATGAGGTTTTTTAAAATTCTTTCTACCCGCCCCCTCCAAAATCTCAAAGACTATCAGGACTGTTTCTTTCCATAGCCGAGCTGTGCTTACATTTGCACTAGTTTTATTTTCTCTAATTTGGGACAGTGTGACCACCTGCAGCTCCAGGCTTACATTCAACCACCTTAGTAAGTGATTCCATCAGCAAGAAAGCAGAGCGAGGAATGAGTCTCACTGGGCCCACTTCAATCCCATGCTGAACTCTGAAGTAACCAATCGAATGGAATACACACTGTGAGGCTGGAGTCTTTTGCCTACTCTGGAAAAAGGGAGTACTTCCCTCCCAAACATACTTTCAAACCCATAGAGTGAGTGGGAGAGAAGAAATGCCCCAAAGGAAAACTAGTGTTAACAAAGAATAAGAGAATGAACACTGAGTAGATAAAGACAGTAGATGCCAAAGACAGTTCCGCTCTTCCTGCAACACATATACCAGTACATACCACCAAAGGAACTTGCTAGTAGTTACTATGTGCCAGTATCCTGGTGATCAGAAAAAAGCTGATGATCATAGGGTTGCAAATAGTTGAACTCCCAAAGCCAGCCATATCCATTTGCTTCAGAAGCTACTGAGAAGATTCTCAGTGATGTTTAACAAATCGTTTGCAAACAAATAATATCTAAAACTTAACTGTATTCAATGAACTTTATTTTCCTAAATTATGTTAACTCTGCATCCACACACCAGCCCCACATTCATTGTTAAGCTTTGTGTCATTATGAAGTAGTTGCAACTTGCTAGGAGTCTATGAAAACTGCTTGTTACATGTATATCCATTCAACCTGAAACATTTGTGGCCCATGAATAATCATATTTCTGAATCCAAGTGACACAAACCCAACTTCATTTTGAAATGTTAGTAAGTTCTTTACCTTTTCAAAAGTAGCAGGGAGTTTATATTTACCAAAAGTGTCAAACAGTTGCAGTCTTTTTAGTTCCCACACAAGAATTTTTCTTATAGTTGCTAATAAAAAAAGTTTCATATCTTCATTCTACAGAAGTCCTTAGATATCATAGAAAAATAGACTTATAAAGCTGGAAGAAGATTTAGAAATAGCCTATAGTTCTCCTTTATTTTAGGGATGAGGTAATGAAGAATTGACTTGTGTAGTGTTACACAGCTGTTTTTAGCATTTGTGATATGCCTAGCTCTGTGCTAAGCACTGTGGAGAGTACAGAAAAAGCATAGAAGATAATCACCCCTCAGCATGAGCATGAACACACACACACATACACACACACAAAGAACATCATCCTCAAAGGGATTGAATTTAGCCAAGGAGACATAACTATCCAAGATACAAAACAATTACAAAATTCACAGTATGTCATGTAATGTTGTTAAGTGCCGTTGAGTCGTTTCCTACTCATAGCGACCCCATGCACAGCAGAACGAAACACTGCCCAATCCCGCGCCAGCCCCACAATCCCTGCTATACTTGA